AATTTTCAAGTTGTTTTGATAATCAGCCATGTTTAGACACCAACCAGAATAAAATTACATACACATGTTATACATACATCTCACGACAGTGAGAAGAAAGGAGAAAGCAATGGAAAGTCCATTGCTACACACGGCATATGTTTTTGAGCTGTTGATATTTTACAAAGCTGCCTCACTGAGGAGCCCATCAACATTCTACAGCTAAGTGCTACTAGAGCCAGTATTTCTGATGTTTCATTAAATCCATTAAGTAGGGCCGCTTTAAAGAACTAGTTTTATTTACTAATGCATATGTAATCATGCTCATGAATATAATAAACAATATGGAAATTCATGTCAATAAAACAAGTGTTTGTCCACAGACTATAAACCAAAATAAAATTATTTGAGCTGCATCAGCCACTGCCTGACCCTGATCATGTTCTTAAAGGAAATATCAAGGACAATATGCCAAAGTTGGTGAGAAACCCACTGATGTCTAAGATATGGACAAGATGGTATCCTACTCATGATCAGGTTAACAATAATACATAAGTTGAGTAGTTTGGGAATTTTGCATTTTCAGCTTTATTGACAAATGGTGTGTTTAGAAAAGGGGGAAATGAAGACAACCCACAAAATAAAATATGAAGTGAAATATGAAATAAAATATGAAGTGAAATATGAAATAAAATATGAAGTGAAAGTAACCACCATCACCTACTAACAAAGTGCCTAGCCTTCCTAAATAACAGAGTGGGCCCTGTCATAAATGTCACATGTGTCTTCTGAGGACACTTTTGGCACCCACAGTCCTCAATTCCATTTAGACTCAATTGAACACATTTCTACACTGCAGGAGTCCTGCAGCAGTTGCAGGGAGTTCTATGGATCTATCCCACAGGCCCACTTGCTGTTCTTTTAAACCCTCGGTACACTCCTACCAGCTCTAGCACTGTCTAATCCATGTCCTGCTTGGAATGCTCTGCTCCCAGATACCTGCTTTGAAAGCTTCCTTATGCCCTTCATGTCTTTGCTGATGTGCCACCTTCCTGACAAAGCCTGTGACCATCGTATTTAAAATGATACCAGTGCCCCCAGCTCTCCTTGCTCTACATTTTCTTTTTCCATTGCACTTAACACCTAGTAAACCTATAATTTACTTATTTACTGATGTTTATTGGTGATGTCTGTGTCCTCTGCCAGACTATAATCATTGTGAGGGCAGATATCTTTGTTTCCTTCAATGATGTATCAAAATACCTAGAATATTATCTAGCACATAGCAGGCTCTTTGTGTTAAATGGAAGAATAAGTATATGATACTTTGATTATTTATGTCACATCAGGCAGTTTTCTGTACAGCCTTCAGTACTGACATAGTTAAAATCATCCCAAATATCTGTGTCTCATCAGTACTGTCAGTGTAATGAAACTGCTTAGGTCCTGAGTGTACCTTTGACTTCTGCCTGTGAGTCGGAGCACGCTGGCAGTAGCTGTTCTACTTGTAGAGTTGAAACTCTCTGCTGCTTAGTGTTTTGGTCCCACAAGATCTGGTGAGGTTTTCACCTACATCTTGGCTTTACTCCTGATTGCATTTTCATATCTCTTTTAAAGATCAGCCCATTGGATGTTGTTCTTAGAGCAGTGCTAAGTGCTCAGCAATTAACCCAGTAAGTGATATGTGTTGTTTGTAGGCGAAGCTCACTGTGTCTGTCGTGACTTAACTTCAGAATTTAAAAGCACTTCGAAAATTATCTACTCCAGCTCATTTTATACTTGAGGAAACTGAAGAACCAAGAGATAAATTAATCTTCTAAATTCACTGAACTGGCTAGAGGCTGTTATGGGATTGGAGTCCTGGTTTTTTGGGTTTTGCTTTTTTTTTTTTTTTGAAGAAACACAATATTGCTGCCGTAGACAGCAAGACCAGCCTCCTCATGGGGTCCTCTGCTCTTTTACAAGGCTCTGCTTTCTTCCCTTCTCCCCCATCTTCCTTAAGGAGGATCCAGTTCTCTCCAGATCTTACCTCTGCATAGGACCCTATTTTGTCACCCCAACCCAAAGCGTCCTTAGATCCCTTCCCCACAGGGGTCAGTATTTTCTCCTAAGCCCCCAGTGTTTTAAGAATGCATTTCTGGTTTTCTTTCTCATTACCATGATGCTCAGCAGGGGGCTAGAGAAGAGATGGGCTGTCATCTGGCTGCTTTATTGCTTTTGCTTCCATCTCCCTTTTGCCCCACCCCCAACTTGGTTTGCCCCTGCTGAGGAACTCTTTCCCTCCCTTGATCAGTTTCTCTGGCTTCTTAACACTTCATGGCTTCTCAACCTGTGGTCTCATACCAGTAGGGTTAGGAGGTGAAAGAAATACCACCCTGTGTTTATCTAGATTGTTTCTGTCTCTTTTGACCTTTACAGCAACCTTGTGTGTTAAGTGGGAAAAGAGAGAGAGAGAGAGAGAGAGTTTTTTTTTTTTTAACTGACAAAGGAATGAAATACCCATACGTGGAGGAAATGATTTGCTCAGTCTTGCAGCCTCTCATTGGCAGGCCTAGAAGCAGAGCCTCCAAACCCTAGTTTAGAATCTTTTCTACTATCCCTAATGCTAATGTTAACCAAAAGAGACACAAAAATTTATCACCATCTGGAATTCTGAAATGTACATAATATTTTTTTCCCTGAAGATCTTACTCAGTTTTTTTAAAACTTCTGGGTTTTTCTAGCATTTTTAGCATCTTGATTTTCAAAAAGACCACTGACAATTCAGTTAGTGATATAATGGACAGGTTCTCTGATACTAAATTTCATATACGTTTAACAGTTATTAACTGCTGTTACGTTAACGTTAAATGTGAACCTATATTTGCAGATGTTCTAGTTGCCCTTTGAGAATCAGACTGTTGGTAAGATTTATTCCAATTCTTCATTTAAACAGTATATGTATCATACAATTTAATGATTTGATATTTATGCAAGTTGTGAAAATTAACATATTCTAATAGATCCTGTACTTTTTAACTAAAGATGTAAGAAATATTTTTCTTTAAATATAAAACATGGTATAATACTGTATTTAAACTCAAAAATGTTCCTTAAAATATTTTTCTCATAACTAACCATAGATAGTAATGTCTTTATCACTTTCCTTCTTATTATTAATTATTGTAAAGAGATTGAAATGAGCTTTTAACTTAAATTCAATCAATAAATTTTACTTAATTATATTCATACTTATAAGTTACTTCATTGCCAAGCAAAGCATTTTAAAGCACACTGTGTGTTGTATATACTCTCGTAAGAAAAATGAAATGCAATTATGTCTTTGCAAGTAAAACAGATTAGAAACTGACATTGTCCTGACATGGCTGATAATGTTAGCTCCCTGCCAAACTTCTCTGTACAGCAGGTCAAGAGAGCTTTTCTGTAAAGTAGCTGTTGTATGGTGTTTTGTATTGCAGCTTCATTTCCACCTGCCTTTTGTCCTCCCAGAGGCCAAAGGGGCACACATAACTGTTTGTATGTAAGAGTCCTAGAAGATGTGAAAAACCCATGTGTCATGTGTTCAGAGCTATCAGTGTGATCTGAGGCCAGAAATCCTAAGGTACAGAGTGAATTCATATAAAGTCATTTGATATAGGTTAGAGTGAATTCATATAAAGTCATTCGATATAGGTTAGAGTTGCCCAAATCCATTTTCTACAAAGTGATAATATCCATATTCTAGATTTGCCCTTGATATTGTTACTCCCATTTACTTTTATGTTGATTTCATGTTCCAGATCGCTACATGTCACACTGCCTAGAGGGTGCCCTCTTGTTGAAACCATTCTTAGTTTGGTCTAGTGCCATGGAAAAAAGTGAGTCCCTGTTGGGAATATGGTTTGCTTTACAAGTTGGGGTGAGTGAAAAGAACCATAACTACCTACCTACTACTCCATTTCCTGAATGATAAAAGCTCTATATGAATCCTGCCTCTAAAGTCTGGACAATATGGTGGTTTCTCTTCTGACAGATTAGCTGTGTCCGGTCACATTTGTTTTCACCTCTGTGCAATTTTGCTGTTTACGTCCTTTATAAATCAGAAATGCATTCTGCTTAGGGGAAGACAAGCACACACATGCTGATTTATACTAAAATCACAAAAAGCTTTGTAAATAACCTTTAAAGTAAAAATGATAGTTTTCTGAAAGTATGTTAGCTAAATTTTTAGGATGAGTATAAAGAAGAATAGTAAATAAATATGCAGACCAGGACCAGGTATTTTTACACCGTGACATCTGTTGTGTCCTTTGAGACATGGAGTAGTCATTGTAGAGAGAGTCATCATTAGGTACTAAAATAACTTAGGACCTTTTTTCTTTCTCCTTTTCTTATTTGTTAGCTTTATTAGTTAAGCTTTTTCCAAACATGTTTACTCAGAGTCACCTATTCTGGATAGCATCAAATAAAGCTAATGATTGAAATGTTTAATTCTCGTGAATCTGAAAAGAACCACAATTGTTTCTCTTTCAACTGGCTACTCTATAACAGTTTTATAAAAGGATGGGGGTAATTGCATTTGGTGGTTTCTATCCTAATGATTTCTACTAGCTTTTTTCTACGGAACGTAGTAAAATGTCAACAGTTATAAGTTGTTTACTCAATAGAGCTGATTTTTACATGATCAACTCAAATTTTGAGTAGACATGTCTTAGAATGGAAAAAAAGTAACTTAATCTATGAGGATTTAGTCTGTGGTTCTTAGAATAATTTTCCATGTATATCTGGAAAGTTAAATTGATTTTAAAGGATGTGTAATTGATTAATTAAAAGCATCATTTTGAAAAACCCATTTATGACCCACTATGACTGTAGCTTGAAAATCCCCTCAGGTAGGTATCAAGCCAAGTGGTGCAAATAATTTATCATGCAAGTAAATAGACCATTTATTGTGGAATATAATGAAGAAAGAGAAAATACATTTTACCTGTTTAACATGCTAACTACTTCAATGTATATGTGTTTTGTTTATTCTCTCGTAGGTATGAGAAAGTGCCAGTCATCTTGGTTGGGAACAAAGTGGACCTGGAAAGTGAGAGAGAAGTGTCATCCAACGAAGGCAGAGCCCTTGCCGAAGAGTGGGGCTGCCCCTTTATGGAGACTTCTGCAAAGAGTAAAACAATGGTGGACGAGCTCTTTGCAGAAATTGTGAGGCAGATGAACTATGCTGCTCAGCCTGACAAAGATGATCCATGCTGTTCTGCCTGTAACATCCAATAGCATCCGAATACGGCTGTCCTGGACAGGATTTGCCCAATATTGTAGGCGATAGAAATCTGGTCTACTCTACTGTGGAGTTTGCAGGACACATGGTGTGAATCTACAGTGAACTGCAGCCCTTACTCAGAATTAAGCAGTGATTGTCAGTTGATATCTCTGAGTAACATTTGGGTTCAGTAACTACAGTTTTCACCCTTGTCCTCAATCTCCTTTATGCATCTGCAACTTTAAGGCATAGCCCATCTATCTACAGGGTGATCTCATTTGAAAGCTATGATGGCATTGTCGCTGAGTTGACAGAAGCAGCTATTATATCAGTTAATAATAATCATGGAGAAACAAGAAGAATTCCTATGACCACTTAACAATTAAATATTTTGTCGTCTTAAAAAAGAAATAAGTAAAGGAGAAATATTTTCCTATAAGAGTACTGAATTTCAGGAATTGGTATAGAGCTTCTAACCAATGTTTTCTGTCAAGTAAGATAACAGCTGACCTGCCAACAGCATTACAGGGAGAGATTCTTTGCTCAGCTGACACATTTCTGTTTTTCAAAACTGATGCTTAATTGTAGATGTTATTCTAATTTGTGATATGGAACTAACTCATGCATCCATCCTTGGTAGAGCAAAAGTTAGGAGAGGTTGTATAAAAATACAATCTGGCTTTAGAATTTGTTAAATCACCTGCTTTGCCACTGAAAATGGAGGCTCTCACAAAGGTTTGATCAGAATTAAAACCCCAAACCCACCCTGTTAACCAAGCAGGGATGGTCCTTATTACTTTACTGAACAAGAAGGAAGCAACTGTGATGGAAAAAGATTGTTTAGCCTTACTAACAAAGAAGCACTTGGTTAGATTAACCAGTACCATCACGTAAGGAAAATGAAGCCATGTTGCATCCACATGTCACCGTTTGCAGACACCTCACAGGACAGTACCAACATCTGGCATTTTTTTAAAGCAGCCAATTCTTTCTCGCCTTTAAGGGCTAGGGTTATGGTGTGACCCTTGGCTAACCTGCTTTCAAAATCAAGTTGGCTGTAGCAGAGCTTTATTGCAGGCATTTAAAAAATCGAATAACCATGTGAAATAATTGGGCTTAAAAGTAGAACATAAATTATAGAGTAGAAGGTAAAGGACAAAAAGCCTTTTATCTTTAATTTTCCTTGAGAATTATATAAAGGTTTTCTTAAAACAGTTTTGCCCTGATTACTGAAGTGGCAAATAAAGCTAGAGTGAATATTTTGTTTTGAAAAGGTGCTCAAGCTCTGACAGTTTTGGTTTTCATAGCCGTGAAGTATTTATCATTTGCATGACTAATGGCACAGGAAAAACCTATTCATAAGTTTTACAATCAAGTGTAGAAGGCTTTTCAGCTAACTTCAGAGTTACAAATGCTGAAGAGATTATCTTGAGCTGGGCCTCTGGAGATAAATGTGGCTTTCAGAACTGCAATATCACTGAGCCTGCAATCTACATACTGCCCCACGTTTTATTGGTTTCACAGTCTCGTGCAAGTAACCTCTGGTCTTACGTGTGTAACTGAGAGAAGAGTGTATGTGTGTGTGTGCATGTGTGTTTATTCTTAAGAATTTGGCACAAGTCGGAAATAATTGCCTATACTGAGAATCTATACTGCAGAATATAGCATATCAAAAACATTTTTTTCTTTTAAATTATTTAAGTGTCTTTTATACATCATTGAAATCATTGGTAGCCCCCCAAATGTATAGTAACTGGTATTAAGCTTATAGGATAGAAAAAAGGTTGGTAATATTTTTCATAGATGAGAAAAGTGAAAAGATCCGTGGGTAAAACCAGGCCATGGTTGTCAGAAATCTTTGAATTGTGAATATTTACATTCTTCAGTATAATTTTTTTTATAACCCTCAATTATGAAGCACCTTGTTTTATGGTACAGAAAGTTTTAACCAATGTTATTGAAATAAATTTCACTGTGTAAAAGTTGATTTGACTCAAACATGTAGAGAAATCAAAACTTTAAGTATGATTTACCTACTGGAGTAGAAATATTTGTTAGTGAATTGGTTGCATTTTGAAGCCTCTAACTTCTCAGAATGATTCTGTTGTTTAGAATTCCATAATTAATAGCAACTTGTGACAACTATGATTACGTATTAGAAGAAACACAGTTTTACATTATGGATTGCTATGCAGATGTGAAAAATAAGTTAAATGATGTGAAAGATGTGGCAAGATGTAAGGTGGAAAAGATTATCTAAAACTTTGGGTTTTGATTAGAAATGTTTGTGTCAGACAGTAAGGTGAGCTTTTACTGTAAAGACGTTAGTAATAACTGATTTGGCTACCTGATCAGTGTTTCCACACAACTGTACATACACAGTGACAAGGCATCAGAGACATCCCAAATCTGGAAGTCCTCCTGTGCTCTTAACTATTGGTGTTCATCTGGTTGGAATATAACTCAGCTTGAATGAATGTGTTTGTTGAGATGGTAATAAAAAGTATAAGAACAGGAAGATTACATTTGTTGGCACATGAAATAGTAGTGAGTACAGAGGAAAGTTGGTGACCTTGGGTCACGATTTATTTTAAGCCCTGATCAGGCTAGCAGCTAGATAGTGAACGTTTTTCTAACATGCCTTAAAAATATTATGGTTTGATCCAAAGACCCACTTTTTCTTTAGCTATTGTGATAAGATTCTCTTTTGTTTTGTTTTTTACTTTTATACAAAGGCAGCGTTTTTTTTTTCTTTTAATGTTGCAACTTCTTGTTTCTTTTAAGCTGTGATAGTGATGGTTAACTGATGCCTTTTATTTTGTTCAACTTACATAAAAACAAGCCAGCATCTGATCAAAAGTATTACATGAAATCTTTTGTTAAACTATTGAAAGGTGCTTTGATGATTTTCTGCTTTGGTTTGTAGAACTAGGACTGAGTTTGAGTCTAATTGCTACAGTTGCCATCACTTTTCTGTGGTAAAACTACTGATGTTTGCTTTTCTATATAAAGAAATGTTGCCTAAGGATGTCTGGTGTTTGTTTTCAAGGGTTTTCCACTGTGACCGTTGTCAGTGTGTGTATAAATATGCAAATGCTTTGTTTGTTGCTGTTGGGTTTTTTTGTTTGTTTTGTTTTTTAGTTTTTCCTTTGTTTTTATCACTAGTCTTGTATTAGCGGGTAAGCTTTAATTGTCTCCTTAGCCAATCAAATGTTAAAGACTATGGGGGGGCCTTTTTTTTTTTTTAATGTGTCATTGTGCATCTATTAAATCGTGATCAGGGTTTCAAGAATGACTACAGTGGGTTTTGGAAACAGACTTATCATTATTGATTTGGGGTTTCCCAGAGATATATTTCACGGTTAATTGTTGAGCTCTAATACAACTGACCATTTAAAATTCAACAACAGTTTATTGTTTTGTAACAATGTCAGTTGTTAAACCTTGACATTTCAATTAAAACATGAATTGTAGTTATAACTCAATGCAAATCCAACAGTTGTATTTGGAGTTAAATTATTTTAACAAATAAATTTATTTAATGAAATTCCGGGTATTTTTTTGTTTTGTTTTGCACATACTCATGAGTGAAATGTATTTATTATATACAAAAACAACTAAAAATTGCCACATAATGAATTTAGTACTCTTTATATAGAAATATTGAAGCTGAATAAATTGAGAATTTATCATATAAAAAGGGATGTTAGCAGATAATTTTCATGCCCTTTAAAAATAAAAATAAAATGAGAAAGATTTTAAAATCGGTCATTTTAAATATAAACTTATCTCTATAAATGGTATTTTATATATTTTTTATGATAGCTGGCTAATTTGAAGCCTGATGCTAAGGTTAACAGAATTGTTCTAGATAATTAACAATAATTAGCAGTTGTTTTTGGTGCTTCCAATATCACTAAAATGTTGCAGTGTCCTTCTAGTGATGACTTGAGGCTATCTTTCTGTTTTCAGGTCCTGTGGATCTGAAGGTTCCAGAAGCTGAAGGTCACGGGGCTGCAGGGTTGCAAGGCCGAAGGGTTGTAAGGCCGAAGGGTTGTAGGGTAGTAGGGCCTGATGGTTCTATGTGGGGCCTTGTGAATGTTGACAGATGCTGTTAATTGTATACAGCCTTCAGCTGCTATGATAAGGAGCCCATTCATTCCCTAAGCCAATTTAAACTATGCCTTTTGGTTAAGTTGCTTTCAAACTCTGCTGAAATCCCCTGGCAACATTCCATCAGTTGTGAAGCTTCATTGTTTTAGAATATAAGAATAATTTAAAGGAATATAACAGAGGCACTGTAGACAGAATCTCAGATATTTAAAGGGAAATGTGCTTATATTTTAGTAATAAGTATCTACTGATTAACTTCATAATCTCATTTGAATTGTTTGTAAAGTATTTAAACTTATCAAATTCTAGTTTCAATTGGAAGAATTTCTTTGTGGCTGAAAAATAGTATTTTGAGATTCTTTCAAGTTGAACTCTTTGTTTGCCTAGAGGTCTACAAATGAAAAATATAAATAGCTGAAGGAATAAGGTGTCAGTTGGAGCTCTTCTGACCTCTAGGAACTGTGAAGGAGAGAATATTGTCACAAGGTCCCTAAAAAAACTGCTGAGCTCTTACTTATTTCTTAATTTAAAATATCTATGTTGCCATGTAAATACTAATAAAACATAGTGGCTTTTTATTTTTCAAATGAATAGTATAAACTGGTTTTACATTTTTCAATATTACCTAAATGGTTTTTATCTCCCCCCTCAAGCCCCAAAGTATTGAGTTTTAAAAGATTTGCTGCTCTTCTAGTTAAGGTAATAATGTCATTTCTTTCTATATTTTTTAGAACAAATAGTCTTCATGTAAAGATTCCTCCAAGGCTTAGTAGCAGAGGAAAAGGTAGAGGACTGCTTGAAAGATTAAATCCAAAAACCTATTTAGTATTCACAAATTAGGGGAAAAAAAAAAACTGAAGGAATGATACTTGGTTTATAAGAATTTTTTATAAGATCCTCCCATTTCAAAGACTCAGAAGTATCAAAGAATGTGTGTGTTTTACATTGACACAATATCTTGATATGATTTATTTTTTTACCTTAAAAAATCAGATATTAGTGAAAAATACAAAGAAGAAAGGGAAAATCACCTCAATTTTCAAATCCCCAAAATAGCCATGTTAGCATTTGATGTAAATCATTCCAGACATCTTTGTATATATATGTATGCAGGTACACACACACATACACACACACATAGATGGATAAATAACTCAGTGTTACTTATGAGAAACTGTGGCTCTGAGTACTGAAAATGAATCACCGAAGGACACAACTGATAAAGTGGCAGAGTTGAGGAGCAGATTCAAGCTTCTAACTCTTAAGTCACCTTTTCCCCAGTGTTAATTCTTTTACTTAAGTCCGCTCGTTCCGGGTTCATTCAGCTATTATTGAGGGCTACTCCTGTGTCTGGCACTGTGCAGCAATGCAGTCACATACACATAATCTCTGATATCAGAGACATCCTGGACTTGTCTCCTTGTCTTTCTCTTTTCTCTCAAGGCAGGTACAAATTAGCCTACTGGCAAGAAATGGTTTCTTACTTTTACATGCCATGTCCCACAAAGTCCAGGCACAGCCCACAGAGACTGCTGCTGGCTTCATTCTTTAGAGGATCCACACCGCGAGCCCGAGCTAGTCCATCCTGGGCACCTGAGGTGTCTGTGGGATGGGGTGGGGGCGGACAGCAGTACAGCAGGGCTCCAGGCTCTGCTCTTACAGGCTGGGTCTACTTCCTAAGGAAGAATTCAGGCTAACAGTAGGATCTGCAAGGGGCACTGAGGGCACTGAGCCAGTTTGGAGACAAACAGCAAAGCTAAGGCAGGCAAAGAGATCTATGTATCAGATACCACACTGAAGAATAAATGCTGAGTCCAGGCCTACCGTTCAATATTAGACTTTGAGGTTTTAGTTAGATTTTTAAGTAAAAGCATCAGCATCAGAAAGTGTTTTTCTAAGACCCTCCTACAAAATGATGGATAAGTGATTCACAGATACTTAGATCAATTTAAATAAATCATTGTTTAGTGGTGAACTACTGACGCCAAGAAATTAAATACTACTAGAAGAAAAACAATAGAATTTCTATGAACAATCACAAAAATCTGAGTAAGGGTAAGACATGAAATGAAGCATGAACCAAAACGACCAGTCTTTCTTTATTTAGTTCTTTGTTGATCATGTCTATGTGGTAAGAAAGTGAGATAGCCATGACATAGAATATGTGAATCCAGTTTCCAGAGGGAGAGATCTGCCAACAGGATGTTCAGCAAATGGACATTGTTTACTTCTTTGGTTGAGTGTTACCTCAAGTGTGTTCCAAAGAGGGCTTACTCCAGGAGATGTAATGCAGAAAATGATTCTAGAGTCAAGCAACTTTGGGAAATCCTGCGTAATACATCTCACATCTTGGAAAAGTCCCAGAGGAATTTCACTGATGTTCTAAAACTAACCTGACCCTAGGACATTCTTCAGATAATACATAGTAGCACTCTCTGGAGCAAAATTTGGGAAATACTGCTATTAGATATTTGGCCTCCAAACCCTGCTGTGGGAACTCTGGCCAGGTGCAGGAACCTGGGTCAGTTGTGAGCCTGAGAACTCTTCTGGCCCCTCCAGACTTGAGAGAGAAAGAGAGAGAGAGAAGAGGATAGAACAGAGGATGATGGACATTTAGGTTTGTTTCTAGTTTGGGTCTCATGAATGAGGCTACTATGAACATTCTTGTACATAATTTTTGATGGACAGACAATGCTCACTCCTAGGTCAAGGTCTATGAGTGGAATTGCTGTGTCACAAGGTATGCTTGTTGTTCAGCTTTGGTAGACATTGATAGTTTTCTTTAGTGGTTGTACCAACTGACACAAGCAATGTGTGAGAACTCCAGTTGCAGCATGTCCCAGGATGGATTACTGGCGAAGCAGGCTGTGATACAGAGCTTGGTTTGTTACAGCGTGTCCTTGGGATCAACTTCTGTTGAAAGGAGTAGGAGGAAGTAAGGTTGGACAGAGGGAGATGTTGAGCAGCGCAGGGCCAACAACAACCTGGGGGTAGGAGTGGGGGAATTAGAATGGCCCCTCAGAATTGTTACGAGTTGGGCCAAGACAGCTAGTCCTGTGTACCATCCATCCATCAGTCACTGTGACCTTGGACAAGAAGCAGCTAAGGCAGTCCCCAATGGATCAGAGAGTGAAGGTCATCAGACTTTCAGCAGCTGGGCAACAACCACTTGCTTCAAAGGAGATCCAGGTGGCGCCTTACAGTATCTACCAACACCACACCCCACACACATACCTAGTACAGTCAGTCATCTTAATTTTTTATTTTAGTCATTCTGGTGGGTGTATAGTGGTATGTCATTGTGGATTCTACTTTGTGTTAGATCTCTAAGGCCAATAATATTTATATGCTTATTGGTTACTGGTTATCCTCTTTTGTGAAGTTCCTGTTCACATCTCTTGCCCATTGTTTCATTGAGTTAAATGACTCAAAAAGATTTATTTAATCTTTTTCTCGCATATTTGTAGGACTTCTTTATAGCCTCTGGATGCATGTTTGTTACTACACTGTCCCAATCTGAGGCTTGCCCTTTCTCACTCCTGTTGGTATCTTCTGATAAACAGAAGTCCCTAATTTAAATGATGTTAGTGTATCAATCCTTTCTTTTATGGTTGGCTGTTTTTGTGTTCTTTTTAAGAAATTTTGCCTACTTTAGAATTATTCTTGACCTCCAGTCCCTCCGTGGTATACCGAGTTGACCTTATGAGTTGAATAATTGTAGAGTGACTCTTTTACTCATGCAGAGTTTGTTCAATGAACAGTGATACAACTACCATCATTAATCAGTCTTTGTTTCACATTATTGATGAAATATTTAATCAACAGGGTTTGCTCTTGGCCAGTGTTTTCTCAAATATGTTTCATCAGGTAGTTTGTGTTGAATAAGAAGAAGTATTCCATGGTCAAATAAGTTTGAGAAACACCTGGTTAAACAAAGTGAAGAAGGTTCCTGGAGTCTTCGATATCCTGATGTGGATTATCTTACTTCATGAGAGATGGTAGATACATTATGTCCTCCCAATTATTTGACCACAGAATGATTTTTTCCTCAGAGCATTTCATATAACAAGTATTTCACAGTTTTTTACATATATCTCAAAACAAAGGGTATAATGTCCAACAAAAAAAGAGGTTAAGAAAAAACAATCCAATAGTCTATAGTGATATTAAAAAATAATAAGAGGGATTGGCTATTTACAGAAAGATTCTAGTTAATAGATATAGAAGGACTGATAGAATCAAGAAATCATCATTTTGCAATCCCTCACATGAAAGTAGATTCAGGCGAAGATCAGCAATGCGAAGACCATTGGGTGGAAAGTTTATAGTTTGTTATGTCTTCATTGCTAAGAGAAAGAGGTAGCTTTTCAGTGGCGAGATCTGGCTGACACCACCTGAACCAAGTGATCCAACCTAGCACCACCAACAATGGGA